AAAAAAAAAAAATCTATCACCACCCTATTAAAAATCACTTTATTTCTCAGCCCCCAAGACTGAGATGAACAAAAATGACCAAGTGGCTTGCATTTGTCAAAATCCAATTCAGGAGTAAGTTGCCGAAAAGTCTCATTCACACTGACACCACGTGACTGAGACGACAAAAGAAAGGTACTAAACAAGCTTGCATTTTTCCTTTTTTCACCAAACAGAAAATAAGCTTGCATTTTGTCATAATGGGACAACTGAGTAAGTTGTCAGATTGTCTCTTTCACACAACCGCTAATGGTCATATGAATGCCCCACCAAGTTAAAATCTTATCGACAACGTGAGTAAAATGAGCACCGTACGTCCGGCACTGGGAGTCTGGGAGGCAAACTCGCTTTCCTATAAGGCAGCACGTGTTTAGGATTAATTGAATCTGGATTCAATCCCAGGTTCTTCTTCTCCATTCCCCAAAAAAAATTTTCATTGTTCGAAAAAAAAAAAGAACACCGTACAAATACATGTTCTACACCTTCCACGGTTTTCCCACAAAATGAGCAGCTAATGTTATCACCATCCATGTCAATTCCTCTCAAGCTCAAATTCGTTTTTGTTGGTAACCTATACAAAAACAATCTCCAAGCCAATAAAACACACCTTTCCAACAAGAAATTACTTATTCCAAATTGCTTCTCATAAAACAGCATCCATAATCCTTTGATCAAGAGATTTAATCCTTAATTAGGTTTGATCGTTATTCTTAATCATTAGATAAATGTCTCATTGTATCTTACTGTTTGAGTTCATTAGTTAAAGATTTTACATACCTATATTTTGCTTAAAATTATACTGAAGGATATATATATAGAAGTGCATATATTAATTAGAGTATTTTTTTTGTCCTCCCCTAATAATTTAAGATTTTTTCAGGCAGTTTCAAAGATGAGAGTTGCAGTGATTGGAGCAGGGATTAGTGGTCTGGCTTCAGCTCATGTTCTTGCAAAAGCCGGCGTCAACGTTGTCCTATATGAGAAGGAGGACTACTTGGGCGGACATGCTAAAACTGTAACCTTTGATGGTGTTGATTTAGATCTCGGTTTCATGCTTTTCAATTCCGTAAGCTCTTTTCTCCATCTTTTATTTTTTTCCTTAATGACATATGATAGGACAGGATGAGTTAGTCGAAATATTTTGTAGTCTATATTGAAAAAGGCAAGATCCATCAAATGGGAGAATGCTCGTTACATTCAGAGACTTCAACTAGTTCAATTTACTTTAGTTGACACTTTTTTTTCCTTACCAAAAATACAAGCAGATTTACTAATGTTTTGTGACTGTTAGATTGTTTTTGGAGGTAAAAAGGGACTTGGAGGAGAGTAGGAGACGAGTAGAACTCACAACATAAATCTAACATAACCATAAAAGGGTGCAGACTTTGACCCAAGGGGGAGGAGAGGAGAGGAGAGGAGAGGTTCTCCAAATCTCACTACAATTTCCATTTTCCATTTAATCGAATATTACAATACATAAATTAACATAAAAAAGTACTTATATTGAAATTATTGTATTTTTATTGACTAATTTGCAGCCTCCATTTGCATTTCGATTGCATTTGCATCTCAATTTCATTTCATTTTCTTCCATAATGCAGCAGTTTGCCGCACTTTTCTTTCTTCCATTGAAGCAGTTTTGTTGCTGCACATTTTGTGCCATAAACGCAGCTCCTTGCTGCACCATTTTGCTATCTAGTTGCAGCAAACATTACAGTTTAATGCGATTTCAGCTGTGAGAAAATTAAGGAAAAAAAAAAAAAAACTTTTTCACCTTGTATCAAAACCTGCCATTTTCCAGCTTCTTTGTGCTTGGTGTTGGTTAAACCTCCGTTAGACATTCTTTGCCATCAAGCCGTGAGAGTTTAGAGCATCTAAGCCAGATTCCATGAAGAGTTTTCTTGGGAAAACCCAAAACATAACCATGGCAAACATAAAAGAAGGATGAAGAACATAACATGAAACTGAATTTTTTGTGCCCAGTTTCCCGTTTCATCAACCATGATTTGCCCTTCGGACTGATTTTAGAAACAAACATGAACACCGTCTCTTTGAATCTAGCTTCCCTCTCCTTTGACATCTCCCACGGTGGGGACTAACATATGCCTCCATCTTCACAGCCTTTTTCACTGAAAGATTTTGGCCAAGCAAGAGGGGTTTCATGTGACGAACCATCTGAAAACAATGAGAAAGGTTGGCTTTTTTCTGGTGTTCCCTCAAAAAACAAACTCTCACAAGTCCCTCAAGAATTTAGCTTTGATACCATGTTAGATTTTTGTGAGGTAAGAAGAAAGGGTTGAGAGAGAGGACTTGGAGGGAGAGTAGGAGAAGAGTAGAACTCAGAACATAAAGCTAACTTAGCCATGAAAGGGTGCAGACATTCACCCAAGCGGGAGGAGAGGAAAGGTTCACCTTTTCCATTTAATCAAAGATTGTAATACATAAATTAACATAAAAAAGTACATTCAAATTGCTGCACTTTTGTTGACTAATTTGCCACCTCCATTTGCATTTCATTTGCATTTGCATCTCAATTTCATTTCATTTTCTTCCATGATGCAGCAGTTTGCTGCTTTTTTCTTTCTTCCAAATTAAAGCAACTTTGTTGCAGCACATTTTGTGCCATAAGCGCAGCTTCTTGCTGCACCATTTTGCTGTCTAGTTGCAGCAAACATTACAACTTTGATGTCATCGCTCCAACAGTGTCACAACAATTTTTTTAGCAGGTTACATATCCAAACATGGTGGAGATGTTTGAGAGTCTTGGGGTTGATGTGGAGGCATCCAATATGTCCTTTTCGGTCAGCCTGCACAAAGGTCAGGGTTGTGA